GGACATTTAAGTAGTTTCACCGTTTGACTTCACATGGGTAGAAAGAGCTAGAAGTTAAAAATTTGGCCATACATCATTAATACATCTCTCTCACATCCGGATGTTCCTTTCTCTTTCTTTACCTACTTCTTCTTCCTTCTTTTTCTACACATAAATCACACACTTTGAGCCCTTGATTCACCTAGTTAGAGAAATAGTCAGGTCTTGAGTTAGTTGAAAGAACTGATCCACTCACCAAAAGCTATCTTTTGGTATCAAACTTGAAGCTATTTGGGCATTTTTGTTTTGGAGCTTGGCTAAGTTTTGCTCTCCATTTGAGATAGGGGTGTCTAACCCATAAGACTTTACCTCTTTGCGACTTTTCTTGTGCCAGTTTCATGTCTAAGCATGTTAATTTTAGAACATATGGCTGTATTTGCCTTATCTTTTAGTTTGAATTGAAATGATATGCTTTTATTTGTTGAAATTATGTATTTTGATGTCTAATGGTTTAATAGCTCAAGTATATGCTCACATGATGAAATAGAGGATTGTATGTAATTATTGTGTTGATAGATATATGTAAAGGTATGATTACCTTGCTATTTGAGTATGTTTAACTATGTCTTGTTGCTCAATTATGATTGTTTTCTTTCGTGCCTACTTGTTGTATGTTAAATTGTTTCTAAGAATGCATGTATTAGTTTTGGTAATGATGGTTTGCTTCTAGAACTTTAAGAATGATGATCATGTTAAGGAGCACATGTGCATGTTCATTGCATTCATGACACTGACATAGCAATGGCCCCAAATGGTCGTTTGTGAAAGGCCAGGGATAGTTAGTCAACTTTGCCTCAGTCTAGTTGGTTAGCGATTTTTGGTTTGAGTTAGGTGAGTTTGGGCGGTGTCTGGATGACATTTCATAGCATAACCCATAATCACTGGCATTGAATTTCATATTATCTCATGAGTTTGTTGTTATAAAATTGCAAATTGGTTATGATCTATATTTTTCCCTCCAAGTATAATCCTTATTTCATTTTACCCTTTTCTTTTGGTGTTAAGCTCATGGGAGCTTAAAGTGAGTTTTTAGGCATTTACACTGAGCGAGTGTCGCTCACCCCTTTATTAACATTTCCAGGATTTGGGAAAGAACCGGTGGATGATGCACCTCCACAATCCAAGAATTGAAATTATTATCTTTTGACTCTATTTTGTATCAATACTAATTTAGGACGTGAAGCTCATTTTTAGTGGCACTATTTTGTACATTGATGTGCAATTAATGTAATTGGAACCATGGTGGTCTTAGCATTGTAATTATATTATTTTGAATGACTCTATGTAATTTTGGACAAATATATAAAAATTTTAGCTTCACTTTGTATATGTTAATGAAATGAATAGATATAAAGGAGTTCTATGTTACTAATGGTTAATTTTAACCATTTGATGTAGGCATGATTATAAATGATGAATGTGTTTATTGTGATTGAATGTGTTTATTGTGATTACTTTAAGTTATATTTATGATCTAAATGTTGTTTATAGAGTGTATGAAACTAGGTTTGAGGGTCATTTGAGTTTAGTTCATTGCCATACACTAGACATTACTTTAGCTCTTACCAAGGTGGTCAAATTCTACACCTAGATAATTTCAATCGACTAATGTAGAAAAAGGGATAATTTCAGCCAAGTGAAACTAGGCAAATGGTGAGAAATCGAAAGCTGAATCTTGAAATTCCACTCCCATGGAGTTTAAACTGACTACAATTGGAATTGCAGCTAACTGAAACTCAAGTTTCAACGAACTAAAACTTCAATTTTATCAGACTGAAATTTTTGTTCACTAGCATAATTTTGCATAACTTTTTCATTTTAACTTCAAATTGGGCCAAATTTGAGTTCAATTTCAATAATTTTGAGTCAACTTTTCAATGGTACCAACCGCATTCCAAAATGACAACCATATAAGAAGTTATGATCATTTTTGTAAGGATTATTCCGAAAATCTCCAAAACCGAAGAGGCCTATTTGTGGGAAAACAATGTTCTTGCATCTAAAACCCTATAGAATGGATTTGAACGGCTACGATGACGTGAATGGAGCCTATTTGAATGTTCTTGCATTTAGAGTCAAATCACTTCTCTCACTTGTCTTGGAATGACCATTTTACTTGCAGATGGTCTTGGGGCTCGGGTAAGAGCCCAGTATGTATCCCTATTAATTTTGTTGTGTGACAGAAATGGTGGTGGTGCTATTGATTTTGTTGGTGGTGGGTTTTGTTGTGGAGATGTGGTTCGGCGGCGAAAGCGACAATTTTAACCCATCTCTCCACCAAAAGACATTAACGTAACGCTGACGCTGTCGTCGGCGACCTCCTCCATCGCTATTAGCTGTCGGACCTGAAACAACCTTCGACCAAGCACACCTTGCTGATGGAAACCCTCGCGTGCGTTGCTAAAGTACCCAACAAAAAGCTTCAGTGATCCTCAGTTTCAGTTCTGGCGACCCATCTCAATTCGTCAATCTCCACGTCCATGCTTTCTTTACTCTTGACTAAACCCCAAAGATACCTCAGAAATCCACTATCCTTCTTGCTCACCGTCGACCAAGAACATCCTTGCTCGTTGCCGGTGGGTTCTTCAGAGGTCTCTGCCACCGCTATTTCACTATCGTCGTGCTCGCCCATTCATCGCCGTTCACTTCTTGCTCGTCAGAACTGATGCGGGGCTCTATTGCGGTCGATCAGTGTGTGCAAATTTGATAGGCCTCCATTTTTTAGGGCTTTGTTGTTTCTCCCTCGTCATCGTGGTGACGGCGGTAGTGAATATACAGTGGCGGGTGGTTTTGGGGATGGAGATGATGGTGGGTTTGAGGGAGAGACAGTGGCAACTTGTTTGTGTTAGGGTTTAAGAGGGGAAAGAGAAGAAGAGAGTGAGGAGAGAGAAAATTGGATTTCTCAGATGGTTTGTGGTAACCCATTTAAGTCAATTAAAAAGAGTTATATGGTTTAAAATTGATAATTTAACGTGTCAAAGGATAGTAACATCAATTCACCATTACGAATGTGTCTTTCTTAACTTTATCAAAACTGAAGAAGTGTCATCACCCAAAAATAAGCCAACTTATAAATGTCTTTCTCCAAAACCTTAGGAAGTGTCATTGTACAGATTTTTTTTGCAAAAGAAAAAGAGAGAGGAAGAATGAGATAAAAATTATTTCCAGAATCTTTAAAAATGTTTCAACTTTTAAATTTCAGCGCTATCTTGATCTAAAGTTAGAAGTAAAGATTTTTTAAAGAAGAACAAAATAAGATAAAATAAAAAGGGAAATTACTATTTTCCACCTTTGCTTTTCCTGTATTTTCTCTTCATACCTATATTTCACAATAACCAAACAACAGAAAAAAAATTTCTTTATTTTCTAAACAAAAAACAAAAGAAAACAATTTTCCTTTTCCTTGGAGAGATTTCTAAACAAAAAACAAAAGAAAACAAATTTCCTTTTCCTTTTGATTGGATAGATGAAAAATTAGATGAGGAGAAAGAAATGTATGAAATATCAGTGACACCTGAATGAAAATTTTATAATCTTTCAACCAATATATCCTTAGTATATAAAATTACATATCCATTCCCAAAATAGGAAGGAAAAGAAGATTTTATATTCTTTTGAGCAATATAACCTCATTATATAAAATTATATATCCATTCCAAATTTTTGATAAATTTAAAAATGACACCTTGCTTTGGTTCAAAATTGGGAAAAGAGAAGAGAGAAGAAATAATTAGTAATTTCAATTTATAAAAATTATTTTCTTTTGCTGTGTGTTTTATTTATTTTTATTTATATATATATATACGTTTTTTTTTTTTTTTTCGAAGAAACTACTCTCTATTGTATAATCATGAAAAGTAGAAATGAAGAGAGTAAATCATAAAAACCAATGGCCAAAAAAAAATATCTTAATTATACATGTTCTTTCCTTTTCCCTTTTTATTCAAGTGTACAGAAATTCTTGAAACCTTAAAACATTCTTACATATTAAAATTATATTTTTATTACTTATATATTCTCTCTTAAAACATTCTTACATATTAATATAACATTTGTATTTTTTTAACTTATTTATTCCGTCACAGCCTTGCAACCTATTGGTAGAATAAGTCAAAACTGCTTGCAAGAAACATCATTAACACTGGGTAGATCTCGATAAAATTAGATAGTCCAACACATTCGGTTGCACAATATCTTCATCTTCTGACACATATGGTATATCCTGTTATCTAGTCAAAAAAGCTTACAACCTAACCTTTGTATTTTTATGATTTATTTATTCCGTCACAGCCTTGCAACCTATTTGTAGAACCAAGTCAAAAAAGACTTGCAAGAAACATCATTAACACTTGGCAGATCTAGATAAAATTAGATAGTCCTAACACAATTGGTTTCACAATATCTTTATCATTAACACATTTGGTTCCAACCACCTGATCTTTGCTAGGAACATGGAAGGGCATCTCTTTACCATGAAAGACCTGTAGTGTAAAGTACAGCCAGCAAGCTACCATAGTCAACAAGCAATTGAGCGCAATGCAATATTTTGGTTCATGCTTTGAGTAATAAAATATATCCCTAGTGACTAAATTCCATCTCATGATACAGCAAAGGTCCTGTGCCAAGACCACCATTCATGAATTACTAAATCCAACTCACAAATGATCCATGTGACCCTTATGATTCACACTGTTGCTTTAAGACTTAGAAAGCTTGTATACCAAAAGGGATCTAAAATAGAGCCACACCAATTCTGATTAGATTTAACATTAGCATAAACTTAATTTCTTGCAATTTCTAGGCAACCAAACGGAGCACAGAGCTACTATAGAAAAGAAAAATAATCTTAAAATAGAAATTTACCAAAGGGGGGAAACCAAAGTAGCAAGAACGGCAACCCTAGTTAATAATAAAACCCTAAATCTTTGGGGTATTGAATATATGCCTCCAGAACAAAGCCATCAAGAAACAGATCATCAAATCTATGCCATTGGAACTGAAAGGTGAGGCATAAATACATAAATACATACATATATATATATATATATATATATAATACAATCTGCTGTGCTTGGGTAGAAGTCAAGCTAATGCTTAGAAAAATGCGTTTAAAATGCGACACTTTCTATTACTTTGAATGAAAGAATAAAAAATAAAAAATAAAAAAATTACAGAATAAATAAAACCCATCCCTGCACCCTCCACGAGTCCATGTAACATAAATTCTTAAAAAATAAATAGACAGATCATTTTGATTAGGAATCCGATAGAAAAGTGATGTGAAAGAAAATGTACAGTTCCTGACTGTTACAACCCTAGTTATCGAATTATTTCCACAATTGTCATTACCAACTCAGAGCATAGTAGGCTGGTAAGATAGATTCATGAAGACCATATTTTCCAAAAATTATTACAAATATTATAGAAACAAATGTTTCCAAACCAAGCAACTGATTCTAAACTAAGAATCCAACACAAATCAGAAACCTACCAAAACACTAGCAAGGTAATAAGCAATTTTTTCAGTAAGCAAATCATTAAACACAATCATTTACAATTATATTCTCCAAACTAATATTTAGAATTATATCCTCCAAAACCAACATCTAGCATCATATTATCCAAAACTAAGGCCAACTTTGCATACCAACTTACTTGACATACCAAAGCTTTAAGATCTCATATTCCTCAACTTTTCAGTAACTATGAGTAGAATATGGACATATAGAAATGTTTTTACTAAAAATTATCAATATTTTTCTAATAAAGACAAAAATAATAATAATAATATAAATAATAATAATAATAATATATGCCTTCATAACAAAGCTATCAACAAATTGATCCTACTCATATCTCTGTCCTTGCAGCCGAAAGGGGAGAGGCATTGTGTCACAACAGCATTAAGAATAAATGGATAATGGATAAACACAATGATTCAACTTAAGATAATTTTGAGGATTTTCAACTTTATGTATCTTAATCCTTTTTTAATGCCGTAAAAAGCAATTTAAGTAGTGACTTTGAAACTAATATATCAAATAGGAGCTTATATGTTTAAAAAGAATTAAAATCCACAATATCAAGGAACGCACAAATCTAAAAATAAGGCAAAAGATGTTCATAGAATTTTGCATTATAAATAAGAAAAATGCTAGTCACAGTCGCTTAACAAGCATCACACTCGCAGCACCAGTTAAGAACAAAAGCACCTTACTTTGAGTTTATGAATAAAACAAAAGTAAAAAGTTGACATGCCCTTTCAATTTGATAAATTTACTACACTGCCACCATTATCGATGTTGTAAAGGATAGCTCAACACACTTTCATTCTGTGTTTCACTCTTCTTTTTCTCCCTAAATTCTACCTTCAAACCAAATCCAATAATAAGGGTTTTAAATTTACGATAATTAATCAAATATTATTTCTAAAAGATATTATCAAAAATAAAATAGTTTAGAATGCATTTAATGAGATTTTCAGAAATTATTATAACTTCTTTTAATGCAGGAGTTTAATGTTATTTTAAGGAATTATGATCATTTATTTTAATATGGGCGTACTACCTATTAGTAGAATAAAGTCAAAGAAGTTTACAAATAATTGCATAAAGTGTCTGACTTAACAATTAGACATTAAAAAAAGTCATTATTCCTAGAATATTTGTGCACTGTTGGATTTAATACTCATTTGCTTTATTATCTATCCACTCTGCGCTACCATTAATAATAGTAACATTAATTTTATTATTATTTTTGTTAGTGTTTTAGTACTTTTCTTGTATGACTGTAGTGAAAAGTAAGTGAAGTTGATTATTGACAGTTGGACAAGCTTTGCTAGAAGAGTAGTGATACTCATGCCTATTTGTTAGGTTGAACTGTCAAGCCTGGATTTTTATCCCTTTGATGTGGTGGATAAACTCAAATGTGGGTCTTATCCACTACATCGAAGGGAAATCAGCATAACACTAAGAATCATTTTCCTTGCCAGAATTTCAGTTAATTTATCACATTAAATGCCATGTGTAGATCTTGAAAAAGTTTCATATATAAAGATATTGAGGATCTAGAAAGTATTATGTAGTCTGTAATCATGTGGTATTGACCAATCACAAAATGCCGACACATTTGGCGTATTTTGTGATTAGCAAAGATCACATGATCCCAAACCACCTAAGAACAGCATGAAAGGGAATATCAGTTTAATTTTTTGTTTACAATAAACTACTCAAATAGTTTAAAGCTTCCATTCACTTGTGCAACTGGTTGCCAAACAACTGCTCCTACCATTTCCCTATAAACAAAAAAGTAAATATGCAATCTTTACTACATGCTTTGCCTAAATGTCACATGGTCCCAAACCAGCTAAGAACAGCATGAAAGGGAATCTCGGTTTATTTTTTTGTTTACAATAAACTACTCAAATAGTGTAAAGCCTCCATTCACTTGTGCAACTGGTTGCCAAACAACTGCGCCTACCATTTCCCTATAAACAAAAAAGTAAATATGCAATCTTTACTACATGCTTTGCCTAAATGTCACAACCTTGAATAATAAAAACATAATCAAAATTACATGCTGCAGCAAGTGTCTCTTTTGCCTGTCCCAACACCACCATTAATCAAAATTACTAGATACAATGCAATAAAACTAATGCTGCAAATGTATCAACTTATAAAAAACATAATTGTTTTAGGTAAGACATTAAGACAAAAGATCAATATTAATCTTATGCTTCGTAGAATTCCTATGGTTGCCAAGAGGACGATCTAAAACAAGCCCAACTAACTATGTTTAGATATGAAATTAGTATAAATTTTAATTTTATGCAATATCAATATCTCAACGGAGCACAAAGCTACTACAGAAAAGCAAAATAATTTAATTTACTAATGGAAATGTACCAAATAAGAGGAGACCAGAGAAGCAAGAATTACAACTCTGGTTTAAACCAAAGGCGGATGTAGGGGTGCCTCAAAATTTATGTGCCCTCAAAATTTATAGGACCATGGATAATGGACCACCAGAAGAAAGGAAAAAAAAAAAAAAAATAGGGCAAATCATTTCAGCCTCCTCCCCAATCACCTCTCATTCTCAGCCATTTCTGTACATTCAATGTACTCGATGGATAGAGGAATACATAGAGTTGAACATAGTAAAATAAGAAATTGAAAGATTTCGTTGAAATTGTTCGTTTGGAAATTTCCCAAAAAACTAATAATAGGTTCTTCTCTCCATCGTAACAACAAGAATCAGAAGTTCAAAACCTATATATTTCAGTTTATCTATCTGTCTGCAAGAATCAAAAGTTCAAAACCCATATCGGCATATCATTTCAGATTGTTCAAAAAATCAAAACCCATATGTTTCAGTTCCCATTGCCCACTGTTCCAGTTCGGGTTCACCGTTCGCAAGCTTCAGCCACTGGCCTGCTGTCTCTCAACTCTCAAGCTTCCCCCCACCCCCCCACCACACCATCTGCAACTGCTAACTTGTATGTATGGGTTTTGTTTTAAATTTTTTTCTAAATCAACTAATCAAGGTCTGTAATTCTTGTTTTGCAAAAATAAATCATAACAAGAACTTTGACAAGCAAAAGTATTTGATTTAGCCCACCCCATTGAGAAATCCTGGATCCGCCCTTGGTTTAAGCTCAACCCCTAAAACTTTGGAGATTAAATATATGCCTCTAGAACAAAGCCATCAAGAAACAGATCATCAGATCTATGCCTTTGCAGCTGAAAGGAGAGGCAAAATATACACAAATACATACAGGCATATATAAACATATATCTATATATATATATATATGAATTATAACATACCTGTATGAAGTTGCTCATCACTTCCCCCACAAGAGAGATTTACGAGAATCATTTGGTTCGCTATATATATAGACGGAACAACTTAGGCCCCTCAAATTTTGAGGCCCATAGAGGATGGGAAAAAAAAAAAAAAAAAAATTAAGTTAGGAAAAGTCTTGGTCGCCTTGGGCCTCAAATTTTAGAGGCGTCAAATTTTGAGGCCCATGCGGGATGGAAAAAAATAATAATAATAAGTTAGGGCAAGTTTCAGAGGACACAATCTGCTTCGACACTCCACAGGGCGCAGCCTCCGCTATCTACAGAAAAGCAACCAAACGGAGCACAAAGCTACTACAGAAAAGCAAAATAAATTAATTTTCTAATGGAAATGTACCAAATAAGGGGAGAGATCAGAGTAGCAAGAACCACAACTCTGGTTTAAACCAAGGGCGGATTTAGGGGAGGGCTTCCCAAAAAAAAAAAAAAATTGCCCCAAAATTTATAGGACCATGAATGATGGGCCGCCAGAAAAAAATATATATATATTTCAGCCTCCCCAATCGCCTCCATCTCTATTCTCGTTCTCAACTCTCTCTGCAACTGCAAACTACAAAATCTACAAGAATCAGAAGTTCAAAACCCATATATTTCAGTTTATCAAAAGTTCAAAACCTATTACCTATATCAAAACCCATATCGGCATATCATCCCCCCAAATCCGCCATTGGTTTAAACAAAACCCCTAAAACTTTGGAGATTAAATATATGCCTCTAGAACAAAGCCATCAAGAAACAGATCATCAGATCTATGCCTTTGCAGCCATCAAGAAACAAATCATCAGATCTATGCCTTTGCAGCTGAAAGGAGAGGCAAAATACACACAAATACATACATACATATATAGACATATATATATATATATGAATTGTGACATACCGGTATGAAGTTGCTCATCACTTCCCCCGACAGATAGATTTGCGAGCATCGTTTGGTTCGCTATTTACATAGACGGAACAACTTATGTGTTGTGTGTCTGCGGCTTAAAAATGCATTCTAGGGTTTGGCAATCGTAGACCGAAAATACCGTCTACTAGTTGGAAATAATGAGAGTAAAAGAGAGGTGGTGACACTTTGGAAATAGAGAAAATATATATTTTTTATTACTAGAGTAAAAGAGAGGTGGTGACACTTTGGAAATAAAAAAAATATACTCCTGACCCAATATATATGTTTTGTGAAAAATTTAACTTTTTATAGTATAGTAGTGGAGTTTTAATAGTTTTTAATTGTATTAATAAGACTGAAGTTTTAAATATGTTCTTATTAAAAGATAAAATAGTGTTTCATAATTAGTGCACTTATCTAATTAAAATGATATTTGGGAATGTTATAAAAAATAGTACATTCAATTTTGAAATGAGACATAGAAAGATAGACAACTATCTGTCCCAATGTACGTGTCTTATAAGAAAATTTTAACTTTTTATAATAGTAGAGTTTTAATAATTTTTTATTATATTGATAAGACTGAAGTTCAAATATGCCTTTACTAAAAGACAAAATAGTGTTCCATAATTAGTGTAGTTATTTAGTTGAAAGGAAAATTTATGAATGTTATAAAAATAGTACATTCAATTTTAAAATGAGACATGAAAAGATAGACAACTATTTTGTGACGAGGGATAATATTCTTTATCACTATTTTAAGAAAAAATAAAACATCTTAAATAATATACTGTATTTATATTTTTCCTTTATTCTCACTTTTAACTCTTCTTTTCAAATACTCTTGTACCAAATAATAAAAATTATTTCCTACCATATGAAATATAAATCTCACGATATTTCGCTCTCCAAAATAAATAGAAAATTATACAACAAAAATAGAAATTTAATTGAAAAAACTTTTTTAAAATGAAAATAAACTTAATAATTAACCACAATAATTTATATTGTTTACTCCTTTATTGAAAATGTTGAAGCGAACATTAACATTTACCTACAAAGCATTTTTGCCTTTTTTAAACCTAAATTGGGCGGCCTTGAATCAAGCTGTTATCTTTCATTTCTAAATGATCCTAAAAGTGACCACATATGTCATAGAAGACAGTTATACGCTCCCCAATGAATTGCACAGTCCAAAAAGACTGATTTACCCTTTTAACCCTAAGTGACCCGAATAGTGAACGGGGTTAATTTTAATTCAAAAGGAAATCAAAATGGTTAGAATTAGCTCTTAGGACTTCATGTAAGCTTTTAATGCCTTGTGCTGGTCATATTGACCATTTTACCCTTGAGAGTTTACGGGTTGGGTCGAAACCCGGTTACTGATCCGAACCTCCGGGTGTGGGTCGTTACACAAATGGTGAGAAATCGATAGCTGAATCTTGAAATTTCACTCCCATGGAGTTTCAACTGAATATAATTAGAATTGTAGCTGACTGAAACTCAAGTTTCAACGGACTGAAACTCCAATTTTATAAGATTAAAATTTTTATTCATTAGCATAATTTTTCCAACTTTAGAAGGCCATTACTTTTTCATTTTAATTACTCCAAATTGGGCCAAATTAGAGTTCAATTTCAATAATTTTGAGTCAACTTTCCAATAGTACCAACCCCATTCCAAAATTCGAACCGTAGTAGAAGTTATGATCATTTTAGTAAGGATTATTCCGAAAATCTCCTAAACCGAATATGTTTATTTGTGGGAAAACAATGTTCTTGCATCTAGAACCCTATGGAATGGATTTGAATGGCTATGAAGACCTGAAGGAGCCCATTTGACTCATTTAGAGTCAAATCACTCCTCTCACTTGTCTTAGAATGACCATTTTACTTGTAGTTTGTTTTGGGCCTCGGGTAAGAGCTTGGTTCGTATCCCTTCCAGATTCATCACTTGGATCCTACAAATTTGGGTCATAACACTTTGATGCCCACAACAGGTTCTTCACTCTTTTAGGATTAAGCATAAACTCTTCCAAGAGTCTTGCCTTCTTTGCTGGGGTAGACAGCCAAACTAAGGTTGACATTTTAGCTCTTCTCAAATTTGAAACTTGGACTTTGCCCGTGACATACTTGGATTTACCATTGTCCTATAAAGCAATTAATGCTACTGGCTGTCAATATTTGGTTGAAAGCATCACCTCTGGAGTTAAGATATGGACTTTAGATTTTTATTTTTTGCAGGTAGATCGGTGCTAATTACGTTTATTATATGCTTTATTCAATCATATTAGACTTAGACATTTGTCCTTCCCAAGAAGGCGATTGATCAAGTTAACCAAGTTTCTAAGGTGTTTTTTGTAGTCTAGTGTGTTGTTAAAGAATTCAAGGGCCACGGTGGCCTTTGATGTGGTATGTAGACCAAAACCCTTTGGTGGTATTGGTTTTCCAAATCTAGAAATATCAAATATAATTACAAATTTAAAGTACATTTGTAGGTTAATTGATAGAAGGAAATAAATTATGCGGGTTGCTTGGTGCTACAAATACTTGATTAAGACAAGGAGTTTTTGGACTATAAAGGCATTTGCACTAAATTTTGGCTTCTGGATAAGGCTTTTAAAGTTGAAGGATATGGCAAGAGGGATTCTATTGCATAGAGTGAGTAATGGCACTGATATTATGTTGTGGTTAGACTACTGGTTACTTATTGGCCCTATTACTTCACATCTCAATCTCACTGAAATGAATACTTTTCAACTAGATAGATTTATCAAAGTTAATAGTCTAATTTTTAATTGCCAATGGGTTATCCCATATTCCTTGCCTCATATCCCATTTTTCCAATCTCATGATTTCCTCTCCTAGTTACATAACTTACCTCTCCCATCCACTCTACCAGACGATGCACTATAGCTACCATCACCAACTAAAACCTTCTCCCTCTTACATACCATCAATTACTACATGCCGGTATCTTTTATTTTCTTATGGCACTAGATCATTTAGTTTAAGCATCATGTCCCCAAACATTGTTTCATTGCTTGGCTTGCTATAAGAAGAAGGTAATATACTTTAAATTCTAAACCAATGCTTAAGAAGCATTACATCAATGCTTACTACCTTTGTTTGGCTAGTGATGAGTCTCTTTTTCACTTCTTCTTTAAGTGCAAGTTCTCTGAGGAAATTTGGAACTTCGTTTAACCTACTGCAGGATTCTACATCAAACCTAATTCCTGGTAGGATCTAGTTTCTTGGTGTACCTCAAATTAAAGTTCAAAAAGATTCTTACTGCGCAAACTGCTTGTAATACCCCTAATTTTAAAAGAATAGTTTTGGTATTTTAATTATGTATTTTGTTGCGTTTTTAATTATTTAATTATTTTATTTGTGTGATATTTGAATAAATTGAATTTTTATTTTGTTTACTTGATAAAGGACTCATTTGTAATTATTTAAATTGTTTGTGTTAATTATATTATTGGATTGAAATTATTGTAATTAAGTTACATGAGTTTTTTTAAATACATTAATTTACTTACGGTTCTTTTGGACGTCACCTAAGTGTAGCCGACATAGATTTTAAACTTAGGTTTTGTTATATGGGCTGACTAAGGTTTATATTAGGGCTCTGTCTCTGATATTACAAGGATTGGGGTTTTGGGTTAAGCTTATAAATACACCATTATGCTTTAGCCTAGGGTTACGATTATGCAACTTAGCACATAAACGTAAGGTTGTTCAGTAAGAACAGAGGGTAGAAGGAACAGAGCACTGTAAGGGTTCTCAAGGAGAAGAATAGAGAGGACCAAGGTGGGGTTGTGGTGGATTATCCCGGAGCACTGGGAGGCTTGACAGTAGTTCAGTGTTGCCGGAACAGTGGACACGACCACGGGATTTCATAACTGAAATCATAGGCAAGTTCTTTTCTTCCTCCTTCCCTTTGGCTTGTGTTATGTGCACCTAGATAGTCTCTAGGAGATTAATTGGCCATTAACTGAACCATGCATGATTTGTATATGTTTACTTGATCGTCTTTTATCTGTGAAAACTTATCTGCAAAACAATTCTAGCATGTATGTTTTTCTCGTCTCTGTTTTGGCATAAAACGTCCCACTATTTTAATTTTGTTTTGAATCTTACTACAATGAACCAAGGTTTGAATGGATACTAGATGTAATTTAAGACCTTTAATTTCAATTTAGAGGAAGAACAGTAGGGTTGGAATGGCAGGAGATGGAGCAGATAGGCTGAGACGGAGCAAACGGAGGCTGGAAGCTCTCAGAAGAGGTGAGAACCGGCTCCATAGAAGTGGGAACCGGCTCCCACACTTGTAGAGCCAGCTCCAAGACCCTTGGAGCTGGCTCCAGGCTTAAAAGAGCTTGCCCTCCAAGACTTAGAGCAGGCTCTCTTCAATATTACACATTCTGATATTTTTTTTACGAATTGTTTGTTACTGTTGGAGTATGGGAACTATTCTGATGATTCTGGGGTTTTCACAGAGGGATTAGAAGGTTGGTTTTGGGTGTTATTAAGTCCTTAAATTGATTAAGGTTGACCTCTAAGTGAATGGGATAAATAGTATAAAATTAAGGCACTTTCTATGCTGTTAACAAATGGAAGATAAACTAATTGCTTAATTAAATTTCAGCAATTTAATGGGATTTAATATGTTTATAAAACTTGTTTTAAATGCATGATAGGGTCATTTATTTATTAGTTTTGATCTATGCATACTTTGGATGCTAATTGTCAAAATATTAAACCTTTTCTGCAATTACCTGGATTATTGTTTGGATTGCAATTGCTAGAATATTAAATGTCTTCCGGCAATTATTTGGATAGTGGTTTTGGATTGTAAATTACTAAACTATTATTTATATATTGTAATTTACATGGATATGGAGGATTGTATGCACCGGTATGGGACGGTGGCATACTAGGGATGGTTTAACTCAAAACGCTAAGACCTAACCTATCAGATTAAATGAATGGTGATGAGCACTAAAAAGTGCGTATTTAAACCCCTTAAGCTTAGGCATTCTAGTCCATTAATCTATCTTACTTTGCCATTTTAGATTGATTTCGTATTATTTCCATTTTCAGGCACTTATCCCGAAATTAAGCTAACTCAGCCAAAGAAGAGCTTAATTGAAGCAATTCTAAGATTA